GAAAGATATTTCTTTATTTAAACTCTACGACTTCTTGTTTGAGAGAGAGAGTGTAGTGCGCCTTCCTATGAGATGTGGTCTCTTAAGCACCGGAGTTCCTTAGTTCATGCTGGCATTTTCTGTGCATTTGCAGAAGTCAACAGAGCAGCCAGTTGGCTGCAGGAGAGGGAACAAGCACAAGCAAGCAGAGACATTGATCCCAGTAAGAGTGGGAGCAAGTAGTGAGGGTGAAGTAGATGATGACTTTTTAAATTTTAATGAAGATCAGAACCAGCAGCCCAGGGCCCAAGAAGTTGAGCATTACTTCTCATCTGTGAGAAACTTATCTGAGATGTCACCTACTATGAAAAAGCTATTCATCCGTTATAACACAAGCATTCCCTCATTTGCCCATGTAGAGCAATTGTTCGGTAGTGGGGGCTTAGTTTTGCAAGACAGAAGAGGAAAATTGTCAGATGTAAATTTTGAAATGCAGCTTTTGCTGAAGTTCAAGAAGCATGTTTAAACAGCTTCTGCTAAGCAACGGAACATTCTTTTTCTCATTTAACCTGATTTTCTCATTTCAGTATAATTTTGATTTTCAGACACTTTCATTATTTCTAATTCAGGTGTATTTCATACCCTTTTGAGAAATAAAAATTGTAACAACACAGGTTCCCTGTGGAAACAGCTTTCATTTGTCACCTGGCTATGAACATCTCCTTTCTGTTATTCTGGTATACCTATATGATGCATTGACTTTTACAAAGTACTTCACATGGAGAGGGTGAGAAGGATCTAACATTACATAGGTATTGGTAAACCGTTATTCTGAAAACTGTATGACAAGTATAACACTGTTTTCAGGTCAAGCAGGGTCAGTTCTGAGTAAATTGGTGTGCTTCTGTGGCTTATGGAAAAGAAACCCACTCATTGGATTTGAAAAAGAAAAATGATGCTAAGAGGTAATTCACCGTGCTTCACGCATTTCTCATGAATCAACTTAACTTTTAACTAGTTATTCTCTTTTTAACTTACTTTTTAACTAGTTGAAAGTGGAAATATTTAACTTTTAACTCAAGTTAATTTTAAAGGCTGCTAATTTTTAAATTTAACTGGTTACATTTTTCATAAACTTTTCCCATGACTGGTGATAATTTTCATATAAACAAACATCATGATGTCTACAAATTTACTTCTTTTTTCAAATGACATAACTTGAAAGATTTTTGTTTCTTCTTTTAATTGCACATTTATTGAATCTAACCTAGCTTCTGTTCCTTTTTCCTTTTGTGGATTTCACAGTTCATACAGTACAACAACACGGTTTTATTTTATAATAAACTGAAAAACTGGAAGCTTTGGAGGACTGGCATGACAGAAAATTCCTTTCAAAGAAACAAAAGCACACACTACTATCACTCCTTTTCCACCTGCACAGACAAAACCCACACCCTCACAAACAGATAAATAATATATGATTTTCAAAATCACAGTCATCGTTGGCTTTTCACTTTACGAATGTGATTCGACTTTCTTCTATGGCTCTCTTCTGCTGCCATACTAGGAGACTGCCTTAGCTCAAGCCAGGTTACCCAATCCCATCAGGCCTCCACCTCAAGAACTAGTATATGGAGTATCCTGAGAGCATGGCTACATATCCATAGCTTATGTCTACCCTGGCTGTGCACTGTCCTCAAGACTGCTTTTGAAAAATAGGCTCCCACGCTTCACACTCCAAAAGTGGAACTGAGATGATGAGGAAGCTTTGAAGATACCCTGCCTCACCCACTCTCAAGCACACTAGAGCCAGAAAACTCCAGAGTAGTGTGTTGCTGGAAAGAGGTGTCCTCAAAACCATCTCAGTACCAAGCTTGGAATATGTACAACAGGAGAGGGAGGGCAGGGCTTTTTTCTTGTGGGCAGTTGCAAGAGCAAGGCAGAGCCAGTGTAGACATACTTGTTGTGAACACCTCTGTGATCATTCAGTCTGCAGATGTAAACTAAAGGCTAGTCTGTAAGGGTTGCCATAATAGAATCACTAAGTGCTGGTCAAAATCCAGAATTTCTTTTCTCTGGGAAACTCTGACATGGTGAAAAAGAACATTTTTTTTTTCTGAATCAAAGCAGAAGCTTATAATTTCACACAAAATTCAATCTCTGGAAAATATCTGTTTCAGATCAGTTGTAACATTTCAATGAAATCCAAATGTTTTGATTCACCACTGACACTTTTTTAAATAAAAAAATTGCAAAATATATTTAAAAAATTAACTAAATTAAAAAAATAATAAACCATGAAAAAAATGGTGGTTGCAAAATGAAAAATCTTAGTTCTATGGTCTGCTGTTATCAGGCCATTTCATTTCAGGTCTCTTAATGGATTTTTATCAAAACAGAAGACATTTGCATGCAATGCATTGATTTCAGAGAACTGGCATTCAGCAATAGAAATACGTTCCAACTGAAATTCCAAACCAGCTTTAAGAACCAGTTAGGTAATATCAGACTCCGTGAGGATCCATGAACTTAAGCAAATCTATGGCAGTCACTTGTAAGCCATAAACAATGTCAAAACAAGAGGGGAGCATCAATTTTACTGAACCAGTTTCTAAAAGAATTAATTAAATTGCTATCATGTCCTCATGTATATACAATAGTCCTCTATCCTCTTCATTTATACTATGATTTCAGTCCCTGGAGCAGCCTGGAATCTTGGGGACACAAATATCTGCTCAATCTATTGTTTCCTTCTCTCCTCCCCATGCTGGGAGTTTTATTCTGAGGCTTGTGGCAGTGGAGCTCGATTGGCCGTGGCTGCAGTCAGACTGAGGCTCTCAGATTGTGACCCAGAAGCATGTCAGGCACATCTGAGGATGCCAGCCCCAGTTTGAGCCCAGTTAATAAGGACCCGCTGGACCTGATAGGAGGTGCGGAATGCGACAGCGGAGTTTAAAAACCACCCAGAACCGACGGGCAGGGGGACAGGAAGTGGCTATGACAGCCTTGCGGCAGCTGCATGCCTGAGGGAATGCCCCTGCAGGGGCAAGTGGTGGGAACCGTGACAGCAAGTGTCTCTCATCAGAGCCAGCTCAGAGGAGCCAGACACCTTACCAGAAGGCAAGGACACCAAAGACGTGGCAGGAAAGAACTTATAGCACCCATGCAGACACATGAACTGGCAAGTTGTCTATGTACCAGGGAACAAGTACACCCTCTCCGGGCAAGAAGTCCCACCGAGCATCAAAGGACAAGCACAGGAGGTTACAAGGCTCACAGGAGGCACATGAAAAAATACTTCCTTTTTCTTTTCCTGGCTAAATAACCTTCCTTCCCCTCCTTCATAGCCATCAGCCTCAAAATGCATGCTGTCTATTTCCAAGCCACATGGGCCTACTACTTCTGATGACCCTGCACAAAGGTTTAGAACTCGACTTTCAATCCCAGGAGGAACTGCCTGAAAACTGCTTAGGATGTTGCAACCTGATGGATAGTGAATCATTTACTGTACACTTAGAGTTTAGATGCAAGATTGCATTAGCTAATTTAGATAAGAACAAACTTTCAAACTTGGTAGTAAGATAAGTGGATCTAGAAATCAGCTTGGAGGACAAAAAGGAACAGAATCAGAAAAGAAGTGTTTATGTTAACCTGAATGGAGACCATCCCCATGAAAAATCAAATTCAGAAAAAAGTAGTGGATATCATGATGACATAATGTTGCTTTCCCACAAATGACAGTCACTTCACAGAATTTTTAAAGGGGAGAAAGAATATTACTTTTTTATCTGAGGGGCTAGGGACTGGTCCAAAACAGATTGTAGTTAAAGGACAGATACAATTTGTCTTCAATAATTTTTAATCAAGCTCTGAAAAATGCTGTGAAAACTATGTCAAGACAACATTTTTTTTCCTTGATGACCAAGACTTGTTCTGTGGATAATGGCTTGACTTCCCTACGGGCAAGGAGTGAACAGCATAACTCAAGATAAGGTGTACATAAGGTTCCCTCCAAATGGGCCTGCTGTATGCCAGCAGTGCTCCAACTGGTGCTAGGATGGAAGCTAATTGAAACGCTTCCAACAAAACCTATATATATTTTTATCAAACTGAACATCCTCTACCTGCAATTTTTGCTCCCAAAATGTTCTATTTTTTTCCCATTGAGAAACTGGTAGCTAATGTCTGGGGTTTGAATTTTCAGGAAGGAAGGAAAGAAGGAAGGATTGAAAAACAATTTTAAAAAAGAACTATACAGAAAACCCTGAAACAAAACCAGAAAAAATTCTCATGCTAGAGAACTAGCATTTTTCCCTGAGTGCCAAGTGCCTACAATTTCTGGACACTACCAATTCAACAGAAATCATATTTATAGTTAGAAATCTAAGTGTTCAATTTTTTCCTAGACTGTGTATAATATCATTTTTTTTCTTTTGTACTGCAAGATATGCAGTCATGACCAGAATCCTGTTTTGGAAAGATTTATACAAATGCACAAGTTTATTTCCCAGACCGTGCAGCTTCAGCTGATAATCTTCCTGCTCGACAACAGTAACATTTTTACATGGCTGTTTGGCATCAGTAAATTGCTTGCCATTCAAATTCCCTGTTCCTCAGTCAGATTCTCCTGTTAGTCCCTTTTTCCTACTTGCCCCTCCCTACTTCTCAGTTAACACAATCCAAGACTGGTTAATCTATCCTCAAATGTCATACTCTTAAAATATCCTGAATCAGAATTATTTTTTTGCTGGGCTTTGCTAGCAGCTTTTTGATCTCAATCATACTGAAGCAGAACAGCCCAGTGTTTTCTAAATACTCCTTACTCAGTGGAGAACAGTCCTTTACATCTTCCGCACTCTCAGAATTCCATCTCAGGACTCCGTTTGCCTTTTCTACTGCTGCCAAACATTGTCCAGATGGTCTTAATGTCACATCACTGTAGGTCTTTTATTTTCTGGTCTGTACTCTATTTTGTGCTCCCTTGTAAGCAATAGTCTCAAGGACTATTTTTGGCCCCTTACCTCATTTCCTTTCCCTTCTGTACATCAAGCTGCATGAGTCACTCCTCAGTCCAGGGAACTTCTTCTGTTACCCAAATGATTTTAAAATGGAACCAAAGAGAGGAAAATTAATTTTTGTGCAGCACCTTTCCCACAGAATATCCCAAATTGTTTTACCAAGTGATTACATACCTAAGGCCAATGATTGGCTTAACTATTCTGAATTCATCCCCTTGAATTTAAGAATATGCTTATCAAGAGAGATAATTTTGCCAGGATGTTGGAGTTATCACATGGTGGAGTACATTATAATTCAAAAGGGGACCATGATATTATACTTGGGGCACATCTACATGTGAAATTAGTGCAACACAATAAACTCTGGCACTGTTCATGCCAGAGTTTATTGCTTCCGGGTGCAGCATTTAGGCATACACCCGGGACTGCAGTACATTGAGCCAGGGCAGTGCAGCCACAGCTGGCAGGAGGGGGAGGGGAGAGAAGCAAGCCAGCAGCAGCGAGTTGCTGGCTGGGGTTTGCCTGACCTGAGCTAAAAGGAGGGGGGCTAGGAGGGGCTGCAAGGCAGAGGGGGGCTCTGATCTACCTCCCTACCACCACCACCGCAGCTCAGGCTGGGAAACTCCAGCTTGCCCCTCTTCCCTGACCCCTCCCTTCCTGCTGACAGCCCCAGGGGCAGACTGAGCTGCATCAGCCCAGGCCCGATCATGCAACAAAATCAACCCTAGGGAACACAAGTTCCCTAAAGTGCTCTAAAATAGAGCGCTGTTATCTGATGCCTCATTTGAGGAGGGCTAATGTTTCATGCAATCGGCCACTTTAAAAGAGCCCTGTAGCTGTTCATACATGTCACAGCACAGCTGTAGAGCACTTCAGGTGGGCCAATCATGCAAAAAAAATGTAACTTCTGTCTGTGCCCTTAAGCACCACCCTGCCCTACCTTCTGCCTGTTTTCAGACAAGCACAGCTAACCACCTCTGTACACGGTAATAATCAGTGTATTCAGTGACTGCAGAATTCAGACCTCGAAAAAGAACTGTGCTCCAGAAGCTCACCTTTTTTTTAAATATATGTCATTTCTAACACCATGGTTCCAGATGCGAGTTAAAAATGCAATGGGAATGTAAACAAATGGACTAGGGACAGAAGTTGCACATAAACTGGTTTATGTGATCAGAAACTGGTTTAAACCGGTAACAGAACAGAAGTTCAGTGCACAAAAAACAGCTTTAAAATGGCTGAAACTGGTTTAAGATAAACCTGGTTGAATGTAGTATCAGACTTAACTGATTTGGGTCAAATCAGTTTATGAAATTTCTGTCCCAGACCTCTTCCTGGTTCAAGTTAAATTAGAGTCCTCCAGCATCCTGGCATGCTTTGCAGCCCTGAGCTGGGCTATGCTATGCTATGCTGACTGCTCCAGAGAGCAGGTCTGGCCCTACCCCTCTGCTCCCTAGCTGGAGCAGCGAGGGCTGACTGACAGGGCAAGTCCGGCTGGGGATGCAGTGCAGTCTGCAAGGGGGAGGGAGGGGGATGCCCCCGCAGGCAAACCCAGGCTAGGATCCAGGTCCAGGGACGGGGGTTAAACTTCTGCTCAAACTTACTGCTGGCTGCAACTGTGGACTACAATTCCCAGAGGCACCTGGAAGGAGGAAGAGCAAGTGATGAGCAACTCTGCAGAGTCCTGCTGTTGTAAGTCTGGACTGCAAATCCCAGAGACCTCAGGGGTAGCAGGAAGAGGAAGTGAACACACAGTCACAGAGCCATGCTGTAGTATCCCCAGGCTTTTAGCCTGAGCCACTGCAGGCATATGGCTGCATTTCTTGAATCAAAGGTAAATGTCTGTTCACTTCTGTTTCAATGTAATCTGCACATCTTAGACTAACCTGCAAAGACTGAATCAATTCAGCCTCAGGCGTTTTGACTGTTTGTACCTAGCTATGGTGAGTTGCTTACCTGAATCTGAAAAAAGCTGGAAACATTTCCAAGAGACCATGGAGTTCTGCATTTTTCACTGTGGGACTGGTTATCCTGTGGCAGGCAGACACTTGATGTGTTGCATTCCATCTCTCTTCCTGCTGTGACCTCTTACTCAGCTTCTCTTGCTAGACAAACTAGCTAGGTTACAGTGCATGCTTCCTGCCTTCCTCCACAGACCCAAGCAACAGGAGTTCAGGGAGACAGCTGAAATCCAGCTTGTAGTCAAGGGAGTGTGCTGAGGGTGGGTTGAGGTAGAGAAATATTGGCTGGGGAGGCTGGGTGGCCAGAACGCAACCTTTTAGGCTGTGGGCCAGTGACAGACAGCAGACACTAGAACCCAGCAGCCGCTGCTGCTTTTCCCCCATAGCAGCATGGGGAGAGCACCTGCAGCTGGCTTTTCTCCCTGCAGTAGCATGGGAAAGCAACTTCTGCTGAATATAACAGAAGCCTCCCATCCACAGGTTGGATCAAATGGTTCCATGGGCCAGATCTGGCCTTCAGACCATAAGTTGCTGATCCCTGGCCTAAAGTGCTCAGCATGGTTGAGGCTGAATTGCTTAACCTGGCTACAAAGGCATCCATGTCACCTGCATATTTGGAGAGCCAAGAACTGGAGAGCACCTGCCAGGGTGCTCAGAGAGCCAAAAAGTTAATTAAAAAACAAACCCCCCCAAAATCCCCCATCATTAATGGATGTCTCATCACTGGGTATTTAGAACTGTGAGCCACTGGTGTATTTGTTTGGGGGCATAGAGAGTAAAGACAAAGGGTATTTCATAACAATAGAATAAATTACTGTTACTATGGGATGTGTAGCTTTTGTCACAATCTTTTTTCTACCGTGGTATGGAGGACACAGGACACTGATAATAAAGTCTTGTCTATACATAGAGATATTC